TTGACGCTCCCCTCCTTCCCTTCCCTCCCCTTCCCTTCCCTTCCCTTCCCTTCCCTTCCCTTCTCTTCCCTTCCCTTCCCTCCCCTGTAGGAAGACTGTTATGCAAAGAAGGTGGTGGTGAGGATATTTGTTCCTAGTTTCAGAATGACTCTGCAGCTATGTCTTTATTTCAGGTCTAGACAGACATACATCTTGTCCTTCGGTCACCTTCCCAATTTAGCTCCTGTGTTCTGTTTACTTCTGCTCTGCATGCTGCAGAGCTAGAACTTCATCCGGGAGCAGACAGTGTTATTTTTGATCTAGCTACTCTGTAAAGTTAGATTGTGGTTATTTTAACACCAGCTTTCCTTTTATGCTCTGCTCAAGAAGCTGAGATAGCTAACCTGCCCTTTGCTAACGTTCTCAGAATGTAAATTTTTGTCTACTTGCTAAAGCATCGACTTCCCCAGTCAGTTCAAAAGAACTCAAGGCTCTATGCACAGAAAGCATCTTTCAAGACTTACTAATTTATATATTCAGTCTGTATCTTAAGAAGCTGTCTTAAATAGTTTTAATCTAGGAGGGTATTCTTCTAGGAGCCATGGTTACAGTAGCTTGAAAGTAAAGCTGGTATTTATGGTTACATATTGTTTGAGACATGAAAACTTTTCACTGCAGAAGCAGAGTGCTGTATTTCAATCTGGATTTTGCCTTGAAAGTCAATTGAAGAGTTTTTTTTTGTTTCTTTAGTGTTTTCTAGGACTAACCAAGGATTCTGATCATACACCCAATCTCCTGAACCCTATGTTTTTTATTTTTGCTGAGAAATAGGACTTAATTCCCCTTCATCAAGTATGCTGATAACTTCCATCTTCTTTCATTTCTGCATGTTTATATTTCCGTCCTGAGTTGGGAGTCAGAACTCAGCCTCATAATAGTGCTTGAAGGACAAAAAATAAGCAGAAAAATGGAGCTAGACATAGAAGGGCTAATGTAACTTACGCAAAGAATGAAAACTAGATTATTTTTTTTTCTGAAGGCTCTTTCTTTTGTAAAAGTATGGCTAGTAACCCAGGTATCCAAATTTTATCAAATCCCATTGCTGTTTTGGAGTACTCTACTCTGAGAGCTATCCTTTGCTGTACGACTTTGCTTTCTGTTGGTCCTAGGAACCCATAAACCGTGTAGGATACACCAAATTGCATCCATAGGTATCTGTTACAAGCTTTTTGTTCAGCTGTAGTGTGTTTAGCATTGTCACATGTTTCACACGTAGGAAATACTTTTGCTATATCCATATCTTTGCAGATTGTTGGACCTGCCTTATATGCCAAGAAACTTTCTAGACCCTTACTGCAAAGGTATTTTTTCTTTATATAATTTCACTTTTTGGTTTGCCCATAAGGAGCTTGTTTATTAGTGTCTAGCCTGAATGATAAATTAGGGAGTTGAATTCTGAGTAAGATGAGGAGTGGTAGCATGGAATATGACTATTTTAATACAGCTACTTCTATGTTCTATACCACAGGCCACCCTGCTGGAGCAGAAGCTAAAGAAAAATTGTAAAGTCAATTACGAAGTTAAAGTTTATCCTGGACAAAATCATGGTTTTATACATTGCAGAAGAGAAGATGTCAATCCTCAAGATAAGACTTCTGCTGAGGAAGGAAGAAAGGATTTGATCAACTGGCTGAATAAATACATTTAGTAGAAGAGCAAGCAACCTAATTTGTAACACATTTATGTAATACACTGGAGATTTTTGATAATGTATTTTAGCAAATTGTGGGGGAGAGTTTGTTGAAATAGAACTTAAAGTAAAAAGCAAACAGAATATTTTAGATGTTTTTTGTTAGTAGATTCTAATTGATACTTTCATATTATGTTCCTTTGAAGAAGTCTTAGATTTCACCTACCAGTGTCATGTTTTAATATACTCTGAAATATTCTCCACTTCCTTGAGGTTTATCCTAATGCTTGAAATAAGTTAGACTACTGGTAAATTAATCCCTTTGTGTATTATGACCACTGTTCACCTAAGCTCTACATAAATCACAAGCCCAAAATTTAGCAACACAAATACATTTTTTGGTGAAGCTCATGTTGAGAGACTAGGCTTTTTCGACCTGTACCCTGGTGGCAGGTTTGTATTTAACAGGTGAAGTAAGTGGGCATATCTTGTTTCAAAATCTGTGGCTAAGGTTATGCAGATTGGGCACTAGTTTTTCAGATATCTTTTGGTTCTGTGAAACTCTGTAGATGATGTCCTGGTCACTTTAGGAATTCAGAAGTACAAAGCAATCTGCAGATGGGGCATTTTAATATGTGGCTTACAAACCACGGTTGCTGCATAAAGAAGAAATGTTACATGTTCTTGTGTAATGTATCTCGTTATGCAATTTTTCCATCAATGATACGACAAAAATCTCCGTGTTGCATCAGCTGGAGATGGCGTCCACCTCAGCACCTGCCCTCCGTTGGTGGCCAGCGGTGGCTGTGCAGGGAATCCCCCCTAGCACTCGGCCTCCTCGCAGCCGGACGGCCGGGGATCCCTGAGCTGGATGTCGCTGCCGGAGCAGCGCGTCGGATGGCTGCTGATGGACACAGCCGCTGTGAATTTGCCAGTCCCTTGTTGACCAGCTGGAAATGCTGACCTCTAGTGCGTCTTAGGATTGTGACTTCCACAGTTTAATTATGCCTCATGGGGAGGAAGGCATGTGTTCATTAGTTTGAGGCCAGCTGCCTAGTGTCTTCACTGGGTTCTGGTCCTTCTAAAGTTGTAAGAAAAAAAAGACAAAAGGATGCATGTCCCTTTTCACCTTCTCAAGGCAACAGATAAAGAGTGCTGTGTCATATAATGGGAAGAAAACATAATTTAAGAAATCTTTGATTTTACTAATAACAGTCTTTCAAATTAAACTGATGTACTGTCAGAGAAATATACTTTGTGGTATGTCATTTAAAAATAGTAAAGAGTATATATTAACCATCTGTCTTTTGAAGGGATTTTAATTTCCTTTGGTTTTTCCCATCCATGTTTTCCTCCTTTACATGCTGCTGATGGCCCTCTAGCTTTCCCGTGGGGAGGTCTTCAGAGAATTCTGGCCTGCGACTGCTGATCAAATGTTGCTTTTCACATGATGCCATCTCTGTGTAAGGTATTCATCTGGCTGTTACCTGGGTGATCCAGCTCTCATACCACATTTTTCCAAGAGCAGGTGGCAGAGGTCTGGAAGTTTATCGTACCTTAATTACCCCTGTGTAGAACCTGGATAACTCCACATGAATGGAGTTCCATCAGCACGAGAAGGTTAGCTAATGTGCAGGAGGACAATTGGGTCATGTGTTCAGAGAACAGCAGTCGTTCACAAATACTGAAATGGCATCTGTACTGTAACACGAACACCGTGACTAAGCAAAAAGAAAAAAAGCAAGCTGAGATGCAGCATTTGTTGGCAGTGAAAGGGTAGCTACCAGTTACTACAAGTGCAGACAAATCTTCACAATAAAACCGCAGGTCACTGAGTAAGAGCTGGAAAAGCGAGATCCAAAAGAGGGGTGTGTTTACAGCTCAAAGTGCAACCAACTGCACGTACAGAGATCACACGTGTGTTGAATTAATTTTTGACTTCTAGGTAGGAAAGCTGAATGTATTGTTCAGTAAGGAACAGCAAATTGACACGAAATTCTTTAACGTGAACTTTAAGGTAATGAGGAATAGTCTTCTGTATCAGGCAGGATTTCCAGAGCCACAGTACTACGGCTGCGGGTGGGGAAATGAGGTTATGCAGCTCCAGGGAAGGGAAGGTTTTGTAAGCATTGCTGTAATTTCTCTTTTCCAGGAATGATTCAAACTGCCAAATATTCTCGTGTTTATTTTACTACTGTTTTTTGGAGTTGCTGTGGAGAATCTAAGCTCCCTGTTTGTTTGTAGTATACAAGTGGGAAAAGTCAAAAAAAGCAAACTACAACAAAAGGGTTGGGTTTTTGAACCTTGTGACTTCGCTCTGGAATTCTTTGGTGGGCTTTTTTTCATTTGTCTGACTTCTGTTTGGGAACTGTAAATAAATAGCATTGACAAAGCTATTTAGAATATGGGAAAACAGGTTATACATGAGGACTTAATTGTAAGGCTGGTCACTTTCCAGAAGCAAAAGTGTGGTAGGCTAACGTCATTTAGTGCTACTTTTCAGATGTGCCTCTAAGGAAACGATCAATTTTGACTGCTAATACCCTTAGATAAAGCTCTTTAAAGAGTAATCCTAATAATCCAACAAAAAGAAAACCCAGAGAATGAGAGGGATACAAGGATCAGGCAGTCATTTGAATTCAAACGAAAAAAGACGTATAAAGTGTCCTGTGATATGATAAAAATGTATCAGTATTTTAAACATTTATTATATGTATAGCAATCTAAAAAACTGTTACCTTTTTACACGTTACTTATTTTCAGTTTCAAGGAAAATATTCTTCCTATGCTATATAAGCTCTGTCTTGTATAAAGCTTTGAAAAGATGTCGCTACTTCACTACCTCATCCTGCTGATGACTTTAGGTATGGCTTTTACCAATGGATGAATAGTCTAAGGAAATAAAAATGCAAATGTAGCATTTAAAAGTGATACTACCCCAATCTTTAAAACCTAAGGAACACAGTTTGAACCCCCCCGCCCTGTTTTGTCAAAACGAATTGCTGGGCTAAGTCAGCACGTTTCGTAAGCTGAAAAGAAAAGACCTCCAATGCTGACACCATTTTGTGTGAGCTAAAAAGGAGGTTTGGTGCCCAGCTGTAGCAGCACTCCTCACAGCGGCGCACCCTGCCTACACGAGCAGTAAAATTAATGGCTTTAAAAAGAGTGAACTTTGTAACTCTGCGGTGCCCAGAGATAAAGGCAGTAACTTATGTGGCTGTTGTTTGAAGAAACCTGATACTTGCACTCACCCATTTCATTTTGTGAGTGAGCACATTCTTTTGGGATCACATTCCGTGGCAGCCGTCCACGCCGAGCGCTCACGACTTGCCTCTGCTATCTCACGCACTTGCTGTGCCACAGGTAGGAGTGGGTTTTGTTTGTTTTTTTTAAACTTTCATGACTTTTCCTCCCGAGAAATGTAAAACAGGTGCACGCTGAGGTCTGACTCGGCGTGTTTAGGGGACTTTCATTTTATCTACATGCATTTTTGTAGAGTGGGTGCTTAATTTGTGTGCTACCAGGGGCTACTTTCTTCCCTAATTGTTTGAGACGATGGTTCAGAAACGTTTTAGTTTCCCTTTTGAGGTGAGGAAGACCTCTCAGGAGAGTCTGTTGAAAGTGAAGCACCTCAGGGCAATATCTTTATCTTTTTCTGACTGTAGGGTCAAGTTTCTGAAAACTATTGTTTGGTCTTCAAATAAATGCTCAAGTGCTTGCAGGTGGGGATGGTGGAACACGAAGGCTGCGGGTTTACAGATCCTGCTAAAAGAATAGCTTTGCTGGTTTTAAAGGAGAGGGATTATTTTTTAAGGACAGTTTCAGCAGCACCTCACAAATGGAAAAAGATACTATTTGCATGTAATGCATACTACGGCAAATGCAGAAGCACCAGAACGTTTTGATTACGCTAGAGAGCTTACGAGTCTATATGGCTTACAAACCATACAAGCCAACACAAGCCCTCACAGCCTTGTGTCTGGAGCTCTTCTCCTGAGCTGCAATGCCTGCATCTCCAATTATGTAATATTTTGTATTTTACTTTACATTTTATCAGGTAATGTGAAATGATTGCAATTAAAACTTTTAAGGATATACTGACTGGTGAGGGAATTATGTTTGTGTTTCTGGAGTTCTGAAATATATGTTTCTTTAATACTCAATTGCTGGTTTTGTTAAATCTTCTGATTTTGTGCTAATCAAAGGGAAATAGTTTGTTAATGGAAAATTGGTTATCAGCTCTTTCCTATTATATATTTAAACTGCATTTTCGTAGAATCACAGAATCATAGAATCATAGGCTGGAAAAGACCTCTTGGATCATCAAGTCCAACCATCCACCCAACACCACCATGCCTACTAAACCATATCCCGAAGTGCCACATCTACACATTTTTTGAACACCTCCAGGGATGGTGACTCAACCACCTCCTTGGGCAGCCTGTTCCAACGCCTGACCACTCTTTCAGTGAAGAAATTTTTCCTGATATCTAATCTAAACCTTCCTTGATGCAACTTGAGGCCATTGCCTCTCATCGTAACGCTTGTCATATATGCTCATCTAATAATTCATTTTTTTCCTGGTGGACTTCTTTTAAATTAGAAGTCCTGTAAGTGAGACTACAACATGTGGAAAAAAAACCACCTATGGGTGGGTGTGGCTTATTTTTTAAAAAAGTAGAGGATTAGTATAAATATGTGCCCAGAGTTCATACAGCTTTCCAACAAGATACCGCTTGTCTTGAAATGATCTGTGAAAACGATCTCACAGGATCTTCAACCCTAGCCTTGCTAATACTGATTGGGATATTCTGAATTTTAAAGCTGGCATATCCCAAACATCTTAGTCCTTGGAAATCTGTGCAAATCTCCTGACTGTAGGGTTGTTTGCTTGTTTGTTTTCCTAAAGCTGTCCCGTTAGCCCCACAACCATCTGTCACACTAGTTCAGGGATTGTTCAGTAACCTGCTTTTTTGCCATTTGTCTCTGTGAGTGTATTCGGCATAGTCAAATTTGAG